TGCGAAACCTTGCTGTCTTAGTCACAGATGTGCTAGCGAGACGCACACCAACAATGTATCCTCTTTTGAACTGACATGTCACCATTTGACAAAATGTTGTGTGCATTGCAATATTTTAAGCAAAACTGTGCTCTTACTCTGCTAATTAAACATTCACACTCTGCTCTTAAGTGTGGAATGAAGACTGGCCACCAGCTGCTCAAATTTAGCCATAAAACCTCCAACACTAAATTGGCCACCAATTCAGTTTTTCATTGTCCAACCCCTGTACTTCCGCAATGCATATCAATTGTGTTTTGAAACCATAAATGTACCACCAAATGCTGTCTTTTCCACCTAAGGGAGCAGTGTGGTGGAAACGACAGTGGTGGAAATGATATTTCTACAGTTTATTGTGAAAAAATGAAAGATAGTCTCCCTGATTAGCTTTGATTTTATACTAGTATTTTCCTTAATTTTGTTTGGTTTTTAAAAACACCTTTAAAGGTACAGTATGTTTGGAAATGAAGTAGAATAAATAAGTGTTTTTTTTTTATTCTCTCCATATTGAACATGTGCTCAGATGTCACTATTCATTTTCATAGAAACCACCTAAACAATGTTTCACAAAAAGTGAAAGTGAAGTCAAAGTGAAATTTCAGTGTTGTGCTGGAATAGACAATGATACTGTGCGGCAGCTATACTTTGTATAAAAAATAATATTGATAATAGTCTAATATTTTTAACTATAAAATACTTAACTTATTTCCCTACTGCTTAATTAGTATACATTAATAGTTTTCAGATAAATAATATTTTTAAATGGTATTTTCATTATTGAAGTTTAAAACTCTGGTTGTGCAACAAGGCGAAAACAGTGATTTTGACACCAAAAGGAGGTGAAATAATATGAAAAAAAAAAATAGAAAGCTAGTGAATTTTTTAAAAGTAGGTTTTATTGTTGACAAAGAAAGAGGAATTTTAACAAAATTATATATTTTTGGATATATAATTAAAGGACATGAAAGTGCCCATAGTTGTGTGTATGTATGTGTTTGTGTTTTTGAGAAAGAAACGTTTATGCATGGTAAGTGAAAAACTAAAATTTTGAAGTCACTGAAACCAGGCCGTGAAACACATAGAGAACATTTCTTCACAAGACTTTTGAGAACTACTACACAAAATAAGTTGGTACCATTGTTTTTGGTTACATCCCTCAAAATTGTCAATTGCAGGCTATTTATGTTTCTTTCATAAAAGATTACATTTTATTATATAGGCTTATGTTTATCATTATACGCAATACCTGTTATAGGATACACTTTGTACAGCAATGAAATTATAAGTGGCCTGTGAAGACATATTTCATATCAATCATGAAGGTAAGAATAAGAGACTTACTCAATAGGAGTTATATCCTCCGCTGGGTCTAGACCAGATTTTGAAGCAGCTAGCTCTCTGCAATTCTCACATGGTTGCCCACTGACGCCAAGCAGGTCTGCGCCTGGTCAGTACCTGGATGGGAGACCACATGGGAAAGCTAGGTTGCTGCCGCAAGTGGTGTTAGTGAGGCCAGCAGGGGGTGCCCAACCTGCAGTCTGTGTGGGTTCTAATGCCCCAGTATAGTGACGGGTACACTATACTGCTCAGTGAGCGCTGTCTTTCAGATGAGACGTTAAACCAAGGTCCTGACTCTCTGTGGTCGTTAAAAATCTCAGGATGTCCTTCGAAAAGAGTAGGGGTTTAACCCCGGCATCCAGGCCCAATTTTCCCACAGGCCTCTGTCCATCATGGCCTTCTAACCATCCCCATATCATAATTGGCTTCATCACTCTCCTCAGGATCAGTGTAAGGTTTAAGTGAGGACACATGAAAGGTAGGTGCAAAACTGTAGTAAGAAGGCAGGTTGAGGCGATAAGTGATGGTTAATTTGGAGTGCACTGTAAACAATCCTGGGTGGATGTTCCTGGTGGAGAGTCATACCTCCAGGATGGTAAGTGGATTAGGTAGGCGGTGATGATTTGCGGTGTCAGTGTATCTCCGTACTGCCTGCAGAAGATGGACATGTGCTGAGTCCCATACCCTCTCTCTGAACCAGTGATCCACTGTGGGCACCTCTGAGGTTTCGCTAGTCCATGGAAACAGGTAAGGTTGTATAATACAACACATTGAAAAGGTGTTAGGCCGGTGGAGGTTTGACAGAGGGAATTCTGAGCATACACAGTCCAAGGCAGATACTGGCCCCAGGTGTTTTGATGCTGATGGCAGTACATACAGAGGTAACGGGAAATCTCTTGGATTTTACACTCGGTCTGTCCGTTTGTCTGAGGTTGGTAACCAGAAGATAGGCTGATGGTGGTGCACAGGATACGGAAGAACGCCCACCAGACCCTGGAGATAAACTACTACTATGAAAATGGTTGTGTAACCTTACAAATAAGTATCAATAGGGGGTTCAGGTGAATATATACGGGAGAGGGCATTGGCTTTTATGTTCTTGTGAACTGGCTGATAGGTGATGTTGAAGTCAAACCAGGCAAAGAACAAGGACCAGCGAGCTTGACGAGCATTTATGTGTTTGGCATTGCAAAGATATTGAAGGTTCTTATGGTCCGTTATGACCATGAAGGGGAATTGAGCTCTTTCAAGCCACTCTTCAAGGGCAAGTTTCATCGGCAGTCGCCAATGCCATAAATAGTACGCACACAGATGGAGTACGCTGGGTTCACCAGACCACTGCTGGGAGAGTACGGCGCCTACTCCGGCATAAGCTGCATCAACTTTCACTGTGAAGGGCAGCTTAGGATCCGGATGTCGGAGGTATAAAGGAAAAGCATGAAAGCAACTTTCAAACTCTCATTTGGAAACTTGTGAGCATTAGCCTCAATATAGAGAGCATTGTAGGAGAAAAACATTGCAGGAACTCGGATTGCCTGAGTAGCTCATGGGGCAAGCATGGGGGCATTCTCGTGATGACCACAGGAATGGCAGTGGTGCTCATGGGAGCGGAAGGTAGCGTTTGTCACATGGAATGTGGACAGCTTCTGGTTAGAATGGTGCTAGTCTCCATTAGCTGTGTATAGTGTTTCTTCAGTCGGGAATCCTGTCATAGTCACACAAGGAAGACAAAGATGGTTTTATATTTATGGGAATTTATTATAACTATGCAGCAGATGCAGAGAGATGAAGCAGGTATGTGATGTATCAGAGGGATATCCACAGAAGAAGATGAGAGGAAGAGGGAAAGAAGATGAGGTGAACCATCAAACTTTGATTCCAGCCAGTGAATGAGTGAAGGAGGTGATTATATCTAGTGTGTGATGATTGCAGGTGCGGGTAAATAGTATTCTGGTGATTGTTCACGGGTGTGGTGAGAGGTGGATGGTGAGGGAGAGTGGTGATTGGAGCAACAGGAAAGAGCCGAGAGTGTAACAACCACAGTATGCTCCAGAGTTTCATGTAATTTTGGGGGTTTCATTTTTAGGTTTTAGACTTCAACTGCAGTTCAGCAGTTTCACTTTCATTCAGGCACATTTCCTTAATTCTCTCACAACAAACTTTGAGGGATGAGTTTGAAGTAAGGACTGGTGGGAAACAGTTGTTTTAATGGAATTTGATACTGCAAACCAAATTTAAAGAAAACCTCCGCATTTCTCGAACAGCATTTGTGTTGGGTGATGGAGGGTGTGATGAGTCTCTTGGGATTCACTGTGTGTGTACTGTGTGTCCTTCGAGATTTGGGTGTCGGTAGTCCTGTACTGAATCAATAGGCCGAGAGGATAGTTTAGCATTTCAGAAAAAAAAACTTTTATGTTGATGCACCATCTAATTTAACTTAAATATCTTAATTGAAACATTCTTAAACTGCAACAGAAATGCATATGCATTCTAACAGTGGTGGGAAAACACTTGTTTTAAAACACATTTAAATATGCAGTAAACGCTTACAGGCAACTGAGCTGTTTTCTTTATTTGATATGATGATAACACTTAAAAATAAACTTTAATGTCAGAAAAGATTATGCAATGCTAAAAAAGTTCATGAGGATGTTAAACTGCTCAGGTAAAATAATCTAAAATTCAAGTTTATAAATTTTAAGTGGACTTAGGAAAGTTCTGTACCTTAACACCAACTATAACCTGGCCTTTAACACTCATTTTATTAGCCTGAAAGTATAATAACATCTAATTATTTTGTGTTTATGTCTGGTTTTGCTTTAAAATGTTTATTGAGTGAGTAACCAGCTTGCTACTTTTATTTATTTACTGGTTTATGTTTAAAAAAGATTAATAACAGATCAAACGGTAATTAAACAATTATAACTGTAGGGCAAACATACACATTCTTAAATGTGCAATGATGTTCTCTCTCCTGCAGCCAGAAAAGGATATGTATATATATATATATATATATATATATATATATATATATATATATATATATATATATATATATATATATATATATATATATATATATACTATAAAACTGGAAGTATTGTGTCTGCTAATTTCAGTCAGTCTAAATTATTAAATATATTTAGTAATTAGAATGAAAGTAATTAGCCCCTGATGCTATTTAAAAATGCTTAGTTTTCTAAATTTTGCTAAACTAATGCTTAGTTTTCTAAATGGACTCTGTGTTTTCTCTTGGATTATTTTCTGTCTAAGCATGTGGGATTGGTCAAACACACCCTTATGTGACAAACACAAACAATGATTAAAACAAACCTTAAACAATCTCTACATCCCCCAATCAAGCGTACCGTGTTCTAGTAATCTTTCCACTAGTGTATTGTAAATGTTTTTTTTACAATTTTTATAAACTGTGGTAATAACAAAACATTTCTGATTGCCTTAATCTTGTTACAGTCCACTAATAATATAAAGAATCACCATAGTCTATTGATGAATACTTGTGATGCTGGATCACATGACAAGATAAAGTTCTTGCTGCACCTGATTGGCTGTAAATTGACTAGTTTCATCATCAACGTCAGCCAATGAGAGACCGTCTCTATGTTCGGACAGGCTATAAAACACACTCAATTGTAAGCAATTGCAGTCAGTAAGGTTTGCTTGTGAAAGGTAAGTGTAAATCTTTCTTTTTTTCTTTCCTTCATAGGAGACATTGCTTGTATTATATTAATGTGACATTTACCTCAACTCACAGTAAAGTGAACTGCTTGTGCTGTTGCCTGTTTAAAGTGTTTTGTTAATGTTTATAAATTTTCTTTACATTTGCTTTAAGGTAAATTTTTTTTACTGTTATTGTTTTTTTCTGTTAGTCCTTCAGGCAGGATGATGTTTGCTTTGCTCGTCACGCTGTGCATAAGTGCAGTGTTTGCTGCTTCATCTATAGACATCCAGTTAGACGACCACTGGAACTCCTGGAAGAGCCAGCATGGAAAAAGCTATCATGAGGTGGGAAGACTGTAGTCTTTAGCCATGTATCAGCTTAACATGAATGAATGATGCAGTGCATGTGTTTATGTTGAACTGGTGCTTTGCAATAGCTGATACTGTATCTACTTTCTACTCCAGGACGTAGAGGTCGGGAGGAGAATGATTTGGGAGGAGAACTTGAGAAAAATTGAGCAACACAACTTTGAGTATTCCTATGGAAATCACACCTTTAAAATGGGAATGAATCAATTTGGTGACATGGTGAGCAGTTTAGTATTACAGTCAATTACAGTCATTTATTTCTCTATCTATATTGCTTTATACAATCCAAATGGTCAAAGAGAGAAAAAAAAACTATCAAAATGCAAGATTCATAAGTGTGAAACCAGATCAGAATGTTGTTTTGTTTATTAAATGATTCAATTACAGTCAACAACATCCTAGATTAGAGATTTAAGCCCTGTGTGCTTTAATGAATTTTCTGCAAAATTACTTTAACTCTCAATTTGAGGTGCTATCGATACCTTTTTAAAGTACTATTTGTAAGACTGTTTTATTAACATTTCACTACAATTTCTTTAATAGACAAATGAGGAGTTCAGACAGGCAATGAATGGTTATAAGCATGACCCCAACCGGACGTCACAGGGCCCGTTGTTCATGGAACCCAGCTTTTTTGCAGCCCCACAACAGGTTGACTGGAGACAGAGGGGCTATGTTACTCCTGTCAAAGACCAGGTGAGTTTAAAGTAACTGAAAACTGCAAATGTTTTATGCTAAATTAGGACCTATAGTTGCATCTATTACAATTGATCTATTTACAGTTGATCTGGTAAACCCAGTTTAACATATAAATGGCTATTAAATGTCAGTATGTGTATTTGTAGCTTTACTGTTTGGTGACTCTTCTGTTTTTTGGTTTTAGAAACAATGTGGATCTTGCTGGTCTTTCAGTTCAACGGGTGCCTTGGAAGGTCAGCTCTTCCGTAAAACTGGAAAGCTGATTTCTATGAGTGAGCAAAACTTGGTGGACTGTTCCAGACCACAGGGCAATCAAGGGTGTAATGGAGGCATCATGGACCAGGCCTTCCAGTATGTTAAAGAAAACAAGGGGCTGGATTCTGAGCAGTCATACCCTTATCTTGCAAGGGTAAGAATCATATTGTGACGGTTTCTGAGCAATGAAACATTTTCTTTTGAAGACATGGGATTAAACTGCTGTATTTGCAGATTGTGGAAAAATGTCATTTTAGTTTTTTAATCTCTTTGAATGAAGGTCATTAAGTATTTTAAGACTTCAATGTACCACTTTTTTCTTATTTTAACTTTGTGCTTGCAGGATGATCTGCCATGCCGGTATGACCCCCGTTTTAATGTCGCTAAAATCACCGGATTCGTGGACATCCCCAGAGGTAATGAGCTTGCCCTAATGAATGCTGTTGCTGCTGTGGGTCCTGTATCTGTTGCTATTGACGCATCACATCAATCCCTACAGTTCTATCAGTCTGGTAGGTGCCTGATATCCCTCAACTCTAGTTTTAATTCAGTATTTGCTAAAATTATTACAAACTTATTACTGAACTTACTCTGCCTTAACTCCTTTCTAATATTCTGATCTTTAGGCATCTATTATGAGAGAGCATGTACCAGTCGACTTGATCATGCAGTCTTGGTGGTTGGCTATGGTTATCAGGGTGCTGATGTTGCTGGGAATAGATACTGGATTGTGAAGAACAGGTATGATGCAAACAATCTTTAGTTTTGCGTGTACTAGCTTGATTGCATGTTTTTATATTTTATCATTTCTTTCAACTTTTTTTAGCTGGTCTGACAAATGGGGTGACAAAGGCTACATCTACATGGCAAAAGACAAAAACAATCACTGTGGCATTGCGACAATGGCCAGCTATCCCCTAATGTAAGGCCACTGGAGCCTTCTCTGCATTCTGAAAAAGTCACGTTTATGGTTTCTCTATTTTAATGTTTTTATTTCTTCTATTTTATCAAGTTGTTCTGCTGTTAGCGCTATGATAGTAGTATTTTAGGAAATTCCATTTTTCTTGTGTTTCATATATTTTTGTTTATCCAAGAATTTTGTACTGGATCTATTTGACCTGCAAATGGATAAATATTAAATATTCTGGCATGGCAATCTCAAGTCTGTACTGTGTTTATTTGCACTTCATGTAGAAATGCCATAAATATTAAATGTTTTAAAAGTGTTTCTTACATTAGACCTGTGTTTAATTTAATGGAGCAGATTAAGACTAAGCTATTCTGATTATGTAATACAATTCTGTATAACCGGATCAAATTACCACAAAAAATCTAAAGGTATAAATCTCAGAATTTAACAATATTGTTTTGATATGCATTAATGGTAACAGTAAGTATTTGCTTGTTAGTTAAAGAAAATACAGTTTTTCATTGGTTATAGATAGTTTATGGTGCATTAACTAATGTTACCAAACATGAATTTGGTTGTTAAAAATGCATTACACTGTAAAAAAAAAAAAAAACAAAAAAAAACCTAATTTTACAAAAAATATCTCTAAATTTTTTACAGTAAATTTTTGTCATTTAAAATTATATTCAAAACTTAGTAAAATGACAATCTCTCTGAATTAACATTTAACTGTCATTTTAGGGACTTTATCATTAAAGACAGAATTACAGCAATTTGTTTTATACAATAAAATTGCCATATTATTTACAGTATTTTTTTTCCTGTTTTTTAAAGTATATTTAAAATTACGTAAAATTAAAGTAATAAATTGTAATTACTTGCTCTGTAAAAAAAATAAATAAATAAAAATCGTAAAAAAGGTCTAATGACTGGCAGCTACGGCTGCCAAACAAAAAACATAAAATTACGGAAAAATTTCTTTGTTGAAATAAAGTGCACAATATAACTCATAATAATGTTTACAAAAAAACACTTTATTTTACAGACTTTTCCTCGATCATTATAACCAAATCTGTTCAAGTAAAGTTACACTAAGTTTTTTTTTTTTACAAAGAAATTATTTATTTAGTTTATTTATTTATTTATTGTTATTATTTATTTATTATTTATTTAGTTATTTTACAGACTTTTCCTAAATTATTATGATAAAATATGTTCAATACAGTTACACAATAAGTGTTTTACAAAGAAATACTGTTATTTTACAGACTTTTCCTATTTTATTTTGATCAAACACCATCAATAAAGTGACTGGACTTAAAGTTCAAGAGAAAACAATGTTATTTAAAATAATTTTCCCTAAATCATTACGATTAAGCAAATGCCAAGCTTTATGAAAATGCCAAGACAAGCTCAGGGTCATAATTTAACAGTTTTATTTTGGATCATAAAGTCTGGAAAAAACAACATGCGAAATACAACTGATTAAAATTCTAATAAGTTAGATAGAAAATAAGTTATTTTCTTGAGGAAGACCAAAATCCAGCCAGGAGGAGGGAAAAAAACAGAGCAAAAAGTCTTTTGGCAGTCTTCAACTGTAAACAGTGCTGGCAGAACATATTCCCAGCAGAGGGTGTCCCTTTCGTGATCCTCAGACAAAAAAAAGAAAAGCAAAACAACAGCCAGAATAAAGTCACAAACTATAACAGAAATTCAGCAGTCCTGAAGATGCAGCGAAACAGAAAAGCCAACTGGACTGACAGAGAGAGGGAACGATGTCACATTTGACATTGTGCATGTGCCGGGTAAACAGCTCATAACTGCTGACACATTATCAAGAGCCGCAGTAAAACATACATTTACGCAGGAGGAGAAACAGGAAGAGGAGGAAGTAAAGGTGTTTGTGGATGCAGTGATTCAGGCCCTCCCAGCTACAGAGACACGGTTGACTACTATAATTAAGAATCAGAAAGCTGATCCTATTTGTGGAAAACTCATCTAATACTGTGAGACTGAGTGGCTGATGAAACATGATCTTCAACCTGAGTTGGGAAACAGAAAATCTTACTATTGCTGGAGAGCTACACCTCTGGGGCCAAAAAATAGTAATTCCTCATTGCATAAGGCAGGAGGTCCTCCATAACATACACGATGGTCACCAGAGTATTGTCAAATGCCGAGTCAGAGCCCATCAGGCCGTATGGTGGCCAGGACTGTCTGTTCACATAAGTCAGTTGGTGGAGAACTGTACTATACTGTATGTTCACAGAGTAGAGCAGAACACAGAGAACCCTTGCTGATTACCCCAGTGCCTGAAAGACCCTGGAAGCGAGTTATTTTTCTGGGAAAAGACTACATATCTCCTGGTTGTGGACCTTTTTTCATGCTACCTTGAAGTAGCCAGCTCAATGTACTGATACTGTAATTGTAGCACTATAAGATGTGTTTAGTCGCCATGGAATTCCAGAGACTGTTATGTCAGACAATGGACCACAGTATAGCTGTGCACTCTTTAAGAATATTGCAAGTGACTATGGGTTTGCAGTAGTGCTTTCAATCGATTAAAAAAAGTTAACTAATTAATCGCACCTTTTTTCAAAAAATTAATCGCATTTAAAATACTGAAACTTGTAATTTTGGCTATTTAAAGGTAAAATTAATGTAAACACAAGACAAATACTATTTAAATTCAAAATATAATTGTTATTAGAATTTTTGTCTAACTTGTAACACAGATTTCTTCACGAAAACAACATACCCACAATAAACCATCAAGATCCTGGCTTGACAGCCATATTTATTACAGAAATTAAAACACAGGCATGTTAATGAAATTTGAATTTCAAAACCAATAAAAATCCCAATTTCAATGCCAATAAAAAAAAACAAAAAAAAACAATGATTTCCATGTTGGATTCTAAGTGGACTGCAAAAAAATTCAAAATACAGGCATTACAGATATGAAAAATGGAAAATTATAATAATAAACTATTGAATACAAACAGTTGCACTCATTGTAAAGTTTTATTGCTGTGAGTTGAGAACATTAATTATAAAGTAGAAACAATTTTGCTTAATCCTCCTTTACATTCATCCAGTTGCTAAGACTAGGAGTATCCCGCAAATGCACAGAGACTCCCGGATGCCCGCAAATGAATGATAATCTCTCGCAAAGCGGTCGTTAAATACATTGCACACCCCTCTCCCCCGCATCCCTCCTAGCTCTTCAGGTATGTCACGCGCAACTCACCCCCCACCGTCCTTCAGGTACATCTCGCGCACACGCCCCTATTCAGATACGTCGCTCACTCCACCCCTGACACCCCTCAACGGGCCTGACACAGACACACACAACGCGCTGGAGCGACTGCCTTCAGATTTAACACACATGATCGCGTTCATCAAATTTGCTTAAACTAAGCGTTCTTAAGTATTACTGTATTTCACAAGGATTCTGACACAACAACGCGAAGCATACGCTTTCGTTGCGTTTAATAAGGAAACACGCTAAACTTGGAGGGCTCATGCTGAAAGGCAGAGTAATGCCCTGTCTTGGACAGCTCGCTACTTCACCAGAGACTTTCTGAGTACATGTACATAAGACACCAATACTCCGATTTTAATATGATTAAGATTATACTCTTATTAAAATTCTACCATGTAGCCTAAGCAGTTATTTTATTACCTTTAAAGGAACACTGAGTCACGAAATGCGGAGGATTTTCTTTCTGTTCGCCATGCGGTATCAACTTACAACAGATGTCGAAAGTTAAAAATGAAACACCTGAAATTGCATAAAACTCTGGATAACCTGTGATGCAACTAAATGTTTTATACTGGAACTTGCCTTCAAAAAGTGCTTCCTTGGTCTTATCCACATTTTTTTGCATGTTGAACACACCTCCACGAAAACAGGAAGTAAAAAAAACCCTGCAACTGCCTTAATTGCGTAAATTTTTTTAACGCGTTAATTATTTAAAATTAATCGCATGCGTCAACGCACTAATTTTGACAGCGCTAGTTTGAACACATTACTAGCAACCCGAGATACCCACAAGCAAATGGAGAAGCAGAGCGTGCAGTGGCAACAGTAAAAGGACCATGAAAAGGAGGCGGAGAGAAAACAAAAGCTTTTCTGACATATCAGGCTATGGCTCTATATAATGGCTACTCTCCAGCACAACTTCTCATGGGGAGGAGTACCTTGCACTTCATTACCACAGTTTCCAAAGATTTTAAAACCTCGATGGCCAAATATCAAGGGGTTCAGGAAGTGTGAGAGGCGAGCAAAAGACAAACAGCGATGCTGGTGTGATATGCGCCACCGAGTACGTCCTTTGCCAATACTGAAACCTAGACAAAGTGTGGGGCTGCCAAGAGAACAATCTCAAGGGACAGTCATGAGTCCAGCGGTAACACCAAGATCCTACATCATACACACTGATGAAGGACTGCTGAGGAGAAACCGCACTCATGTGCGGGCAATGCACCCAATGCAACATCAAGAACTCACTGAACCCAGAGACACAACCCTTGACACAGGTAACACCGAAACTCATATCTATCCTGTAAGAGACAAGGATAGGTCCAGAGAGTCTCATGTAACAAGTTCAGGCAGAGTGTCACGACCCACCTGAGCGTTTGAGCTTGTAAAGAGGATAGAGGTATGTTCAAATGAAAAAAAAGTAAAAAGAAAAGAAAGTTGTTTGCTTGAGTTCAAGCTCATATTTAGAGATGATGTCACTTGTAGTGGAATGTTTGTTTTTAAAAGTAAATGTTAGAAGAGGGTTCCAACTTAAAAGGGGAGGTGTACCATAAATGATACATTGGAAGCGGAACGTATGAATGAATGATGTTGTTCAAATCTGTAATGTGGTAACACAGTGGTCATGACGTCAGTTCCTGAGTAAACAAGACAGAGTGAAGCAGCTCTCATGTGTCCAACTGTTATTATAAAATAGTGTACGAATACACACACGCACACACGCACGCACACACACAGTCGGAGGATCATTATGAACTGATTACATGGACTTTAAGAGCAGTTTTGTAAGTCTTTTAATATGGTTACTGTGAACATTATGATGCGTTTCTCTTTTTTGCCTTGCTTTATTTTTTAATTGTTTACGTTATTTGCTGCCAGGACTGACCATTTGCCTGTTATTTGATCATGACTCTGGATTCCATGCATACATCTATTTGCCCCTGTGTTGAAAGTTGCTTGCCTGGCCATCTCATTGCCATGTGTAATAAACCTGCATTTGGATCTGCACTCCTTCATATTAAAGTTCTATTTCATTTTTCATCAAGATTTGG